GTTATAGACACAAGTATAAGGTGTGCTGGTTGCCAGAAAGAGGCTTGGTCGCCATGTTGTGTGGATTGAAGCTACTTTAATGGCAGCTGCTGGAGTTTTAGCATGTTGCTGTGTCACCCAGTGATACACCAGAATACCAAACTATTGACACACAGTGCTGAATAGAAATAGATAACAACAACAGTAACGGTGAATTTTAAAGCATATTATTGTAAATTTGGTGTCATAAAAAATATTTTAGGCCATAAAAGACAAGGAATCATTTGTTATTTTTTTTATTCTACCTTTGCTTTTCAACTAGCCTATCATTGACTTTTTTGCAATAAACTTAATTGAGTGGCATGTTTCTCTGGCATTTACTTTTTTTGTATTATATTTTGCATCACATCTATATGTCAATTTAATATTTTAAGGTTACTCACTAGCTTTGCTGTAGCTCATCTTCTTCTGTGTGTAGTAATGTACAGCTTACCAAGCTATGTTTTCAAAACAACCTCCCCAAAACTATTAGCCTAACTATTGCCCGAAGTGTCGTGGAATGAAAATATATAATAGTATAAGATGGAAATACTAAAGTGAAGACCAAGTATTCCAAAAAGTGCTGAAGTGAACAGGTTTTCTTTAATTCAGCTGATTAACTTGGCCCAGAAGTTATAAAACCAGTCAAAATGTTTCTCTTAATCTCAGCTCTCAAAGTAAATACCAGAGAAATATGTGTTCATTTAGACCTCAGCACGCTGCCAGCGTTTACTAAAGTAAAGTAAAAGTAGCAGTACATCCATTTAAAAATACTTTGTTTATCTTAGTCATTTAAAAGTACACATGTATCTGTCCCAGAATACTTCAGTAAAGGTACTCACGTAGAACGGCTCATTCCAGAATCTTATACATCATAAAACTGGATTATAATTAATGATACATCAATGTACATCACTGTAATGTTGCAGCTGGTGAAGGTGGAGCTATCACCTTTTCACTTCTCTTTAGAACTGAGACAAATCGTGTCCTAGGTGCCAAAATAAATAAGTTAAAATATAAAAAGGAAAGAAAGAAATGTGATGTACAAAATGTTTTGATCTGCTGTCATTTTTAATTTCTAAACTTGGCCTGTGCCAGAAAACATCCTTGTTCCAGACAAAAATTAATAACTTCAAACAATATATATATTTTTTTAAACCAGCTTTGAACCAACTAATAAATTATGATGGGCCTAAATCCTTACAGGTGATAATATATCTTTATGTATTAGTTGGTTTATATCTTGTATTAATTATTTAAATTTGCATAGTTACTAGTAACTAAAGTTAGATTGTCAAATTATTGAAGGTCTAGTGGTGTAAAATTACAATATTTACCCCCAAATCTAGTGAAGTAAAAGCATAAACTGTCAAGTCAAGTATAAGTACATCAAAACTGTACTTAATGACAGTACTTGAGTAAATAAATATACGTAGTTACGTTCCACCGCTGGACAGACAGAGGTGTATGCTGTAGCTGCTGAGGTGAACACGCCGATCATCTCAGCCCAGGAATGGTTAAACCAGTTAAGCCGTTTCCTCTTAATCTCTCAGCCCTTTAAGTATACCAAAGAAATATGTGTTCAGTCAGACCTCAGCATGGAGCCACTATCATTATCGTGGCCAGTTTAAGCTATCAAACAGTTTCTTACTCTGATAGAGAATACTTTATAACCTTTAATAACTGTAGAGTGTTGTCAGGAGCAAGCATGAACACACTCACACTCACTCTTGCAAGTAATATCTTACTCTTAAACCCTGCAGTGCCCCTTTAACCTCTAACCTTTATACAGACTGTGCTGTACACCTTATACATGCGTGCTTAGTTCTGCCCCTGTATTCCCCACCCGAGCCCCTGATATGCATCGCTGCCACAACTCTTTATACAGTTCTCACATTTCATCATGTCTATATGACTAATATTTAATCAGATGTGTGTCTACGTGGCACATGTAGGGTTTCTTTCCACTGTTTTGAAATAAGTTTCCCCAGAATGATGCAGGAAAGAGCCTGAATTCCTTGTATCTGAACAATACATATACATTACAAATAGCAGATTGCTTTTCTTACATCTTAATTAAATTATTTATTTAATCTTTATTTGTATAGGGGCAAGTATGTAGCAATGCCCGTTCCTAGCTGGGCCTTAAAATCCAAAAGACTCAGCAGCAAGAACACAAGTAACAATGCAAAGTACACACAACAATAAAAGTACAGACAGAACAATACAAGCACTGAATTATTCATGACTGCATGACTGATTCCTCTTCAAAAACTGTTTCAGTTTGAGTTTAAAGTGATCTTAATTAGGATCCAGTTTGAGTTCTGCAGGTAAAGAATTACATACACTAAATGTATGTACGTTTGCTTTTGCAACTCCACTCACCATCTTAACATGCTTCTCAAATTTTAGCTGTGAGTCTGACATGAGGCCGAAGTATTTTACCTCTGAGACCTGTTCGATGTGCTGTCCATTAATATTTAGATTTAATACATGAGCTTCTGTTGATGACCGAGCCCTGTCATCCAAGTTTTGTTCACTTTTGCACAAAACCAAAGGAACGAATAAGAAAGTCCTGACAGCCAAACACACAAATTAGAGAAACTGGGTTAAAGTGCATTTATTTACATCTGTAGAATAATGTTTGTATTAGCTTTTTTAAGATATTTTTCCAGTAGCCATGTAGCAAATAGAAGAGTTAACATGTTGAACATTGTTATGCTGAGAAAGATACTTTAATATTTGACCTATATATCCTTTTCCCCCCCGCTTTTGTACACAGAGTGCCCCTCAGGAGTCCTGGTTCTGGATTATATTTTACAGTAAATCAAAAAGTAAGTCTTGTGCCTTTAAAAAACATTATGCTTTCTCATCACTATATGCTTAGGGCATAAAGTGTAACATGTTACTTCAAGTCAATTTTATTTATACAGACAAATAAAAATAACTACAGATGAAAAATAGCCTTTGGTTAATTCTGGCATTTTTATACCATGTGTATTTATTAATTTGCACTGTCCCTTTTTAAATAAAACTAAACTATCTTGTGCAGCATATAACACTTTAACACTTGCCACTCTCTAATACTCACCTCTGTATGTGTGAGCAGTGTACTGTAATACTTCACAGCTGTGTGTGTGTGTCTCAGAGCCACGCTGCATGGTGATGTCAGTATTAGTGTGTTGTTATGTCGGACAAAATAAACCTTCACATGTTTGTGCTTAGCCCAAATAGCCGAGCGGGCAGCATGTTGACCTCTGCAGTAACCTACAGAGAATCATCTCGACGTGGTGTTTTGTTTAATTTCAGTCATTTTTTATCCATTGTTCACTGAGGAAATAATTGGAAAAAGTGCATTTAACTTCTCAAACAAAAGACAACACATTTTTAAATGCATGTAAAAATGCGTAATATGATAACTAAAGATTTCACTGCAGTAAAATAAATAATAATAATAATGCAATAATTTCTTTCAAACACCACAAATACTCTTTGTTAGTCAGATTTCAGATTATATCTTTTTCTTTTTTTATCGTTTTATTAGGAACAGATGGATAACAACAATAGAGAATTACAAGTGCAAACACACCCTTCCCTTTTTTTTTTTTCTACAGAACAGGAATGATAAAAATAAAAATTGTCCTGCACTGAGGGGGAAAAAAAACAGAAATTATGTTGGTATTATGAAATATTTTTCCAAACAAGACAGTCCAATGAAATGTGTTTATATTTCGGCTGTAAGTGTACACCAAAGTAAGCTTGGTTAAAAAGAAAGAAGGAAAGGTAGATGGAATAATAAAAATCAAATAAAAAAAATTGTAAATTATTAATTCAAAGCAAATTAATTAAGTCTAAAAATATGTAGAAATAAATAAATGAAATTAAAATAAATTGGGTTGTTAAGGAATTAAAGTAGTTTATAAAAAAAATAAATTTCAGGGTAAACTTATCAGAGGAGCTTTTCACTGTTAAACTATTTTCTCCAATTTAAGAAAGCACATAAGATCCTTAAACCACAACAATATAAATCGGGGTTAAGGATATTTCAACAGGAGTACAATGTGACGTCTCGTCAAAAGGGAAGTAAAGGCTAATCCTTCTGATTGTGAGGAGTTAATCTGGAGTTGTTCACATGATAACCCAAATACAGTAATTAAAGCATCCTTTTTTTATCTGGACTCCTAAAACCTTTGTTAAAACCATAAAAAGTCACAATTTCTGTAGTCTGGGGCAGAAGAGGAACATATGACCACAATATTTAGATATATTTCAGATAGTCAAGACTCTGTGTAATACCTTGAACTGTTGAAGCTGCAGCCTGACACACATGGAGGAGTAGTTGAGCGTATATTATGCACAGCTTTATCACAACATTGATCCGTCAAATTTGCCCCGAGCTCATGCTCCCAAACATTTTTGGTTTTGACAACAAATAATTACCATAGCCATGAGTTTGTCATAAATCTTAAATAATTCCTTTCTCACAGTGCCCCTCAGTTTATTATCAACAAACACAAACATTATTTTTATTAATATTATCATTACAAACACATTTGTGGTGTCACACTGCCATGATTGTAATAAAAACCTTATTTCACATACATTACAATTTGACTGCTTAAATTTAGTATTTAGCAGGCTTTTTACATATTCAACTATAATCATACTATACATATACTTTGTATATCTATTGACATTGATTCAGTGCTTTATTTCAGTAAAATCAAGTACAGAAATTAGTTAAATAAATCAAATTTATGTTAATATCTTTTACATTTTAATTTCTAAAGCATATAAAAATTATAATTTAAGAAACCTGTAAATGTGCTATTTTTGTTTCCTCCAAGGGTGAAATTTTGTGCGTCAGACAGATTTGTTTTAAAAATAACACACACATCATGACATCATTTTAAAAATATGCCTGCACTTTATAGATCATAGAGAAAAAAATCCCACCTTGAACAAATTCTCCAGGCAGCAAATAATGACCAAAATCTTTATTGCTGTTTAATATAAATGACATTTCAGTCTTACATCCTTCTGACCATCAGCTTAAAGTCTCTGCTTATTAAAATATTACAATAAACATACATCTTCAAATCAAATACCATCACATTGCACATTCATAGTGATTTAAATGTGCTATTTTTACTTCCTCCTATGGTCTAAATTTGTGCGTCAGACTAAAATCTTTATTATATGTTTAATATAAATGACATTTCAGTAATGTTAACTGACCCTTAGCTTAATGTTTCATTTTCAAATCAAATACCACTAACATTGCACTTTCATTATTGCACATGAGTTTTCTACACTGTTCCTTAAAATATCTTGCACATAATAAAATACCTCTACCATCACACAAAACATCTTTCAAACTGCATCAATATTAAAACACTTTATATATAATTCAGATCATATAAATAAATCTACAGCATATTTTTCAAACCTCTGTAAAAGCTTTGCAGTACAAAAATTAAAAATATGCACCTCAATAGCTACCTGCATTACATGCACAAACCAGAGGAAGAGCATTATTGCTGAAATATGTTTTAAAGGTATATGATAAATATGAAATTGTTGGCTACACTGAGCTACTAGTGCAGCCTGCATCTTTGCATCGTGGCAAGGCTTAGTATATGAAATATGATATGGATTTCTCAGCAGACCTTGAGTTTGTCCTTGTGGAGAATAAACTTCTCCAGGTAGCGCTGCACCTTGGTCAGAGTCAGGTGGAGCTGGCTGTCGGGGAACACGCTGTCGCCGGTCGCTCCGCTCGGTCTAGCCTGAAGGGGACAGTCCATGGTGAGGGCGAAGGAGCGCACCCTTCCCTCCAGGCTGGAGACGTCAGCCTGGATCTGGCTGAGGAGCTCCGTGACGGGGTTCTGCAGTTCATTGTCCAAAAGTCCGAGATCTTGAGTGATGCTGGTTAGTCCGTCGATGGAGGGGGTGCTGGGTTCGATCTGTGGAGCCGCCGGCAACTAAGGAAACAAGAACGTGAGGGGAAATTAAAATAAAGCAGGATACATATCAGACACTTTGATTAAATGATGATAAACAGTGCATACCCTCGTCCGTAGTTTCTTGATGTGGACCAGGGTTATCTGAGCTATGTTTATGATGCTGTGTATCGTATTCCTGATGGAGTCTCCCTTTGTTGGAAGACTTGAGCACCCAGGAGCCACAACCAGAGAGACATAGACAAGGGCCCGGAAGATGTGCATCCTGAAAAAGCAAAATTAAACCACTTAAGACACCATAACAAACATCAAATGCCTTTCAAATTGTATACAGTTTCTTTAAATATATCAAGCTTGACACAAAACCTACCTGTGTTTTTCCACTGTGTCTGTGCTCCTGTAACACCGAATGACAGAGAGATGACACATGCCTCTGCAGGTTTCCCCCCTCCATTTAAATAGTCCCAGTCTGGGTCCATTCCCCTCCTCGCTCCTCCCCCCAACTCCAACCTGAGCCTGACCCCCATGGGTCAACTTATCAACATGCTCTGATTTTTGCAGGAAATTCACAGTAAATGCCATGAGAAGAAGCAATTGGTCACATTGCTGAGTCAGACGCTTGTTCTGAGTTTTGTTTTCCTGTAAGATGATTTCACATGATGCGTGAGTGTCTGCTGATGTAAGCCTTTTTTTTCTTTTATGTTAACAATTCAGACTTAACTTATAAGTCCTGGAAAATGTGTAGGTAGGTTGTAGCTGTGGTGTCACACTGTGCAAAGCCTCTAACACCCATGTGTGCTAATCAAGATGAAGAAAAGATATGTGTTGGTAAATGCGACGTCATTCACAGGTGAAATGCTTCTTGTGATATAGATTAAAGGCAGTGAGTCATCATGGATTTACTTTACGTGTGTCTTTGACAGTGGTCCAATTTTTAAGATGAACATGGAACAAAGAACTGCGCCATTAATTGTTTTTGCTGGTGCCTGTGACGTCTTTCCACCTGCGTTTATGACTCTGTTGTCAGAGGCTAAAGCAGCAACAAGAAGCTAAAATTAGAAACATAATAATGGCACACACACAGTTGGTAAACTGTTGTGGTTTCCGGAGGTGTTTTTCAAGTCCTGACTAATTACTGTATGTGTGGGAAAGAATAATTTTTCCATTTTGCTGCATACTGCAAGAATGTTTCTCTGTGGATGCTTCAGAGTCGCGTTCTGTGGTATGTAAAGCCTCTGTGTGTCAGAAAAAGGCCCTCACCCCGAGTGTATGCTAAAAAACGTCCCAGAAAGGAGGCTAAAGGCGTTTCTCAATCTACGGTCTTGCCTGTACTTGTGTTCTTGCGGACTTGTGACACGTCATCCGTCGCAGCCCAAGTACTGTTCCAATTCAAAGTCCGCATCCAGCCAAGTACAGTCTGTACCATCGGGGATGCATCAGGAGGTTACTTGTGTGGACTTTTGACAACCAGGTATCCTAGAATACATTTCTCACAGACCAGCGGCAATGGCAGCTGTCCTTGGGAGTTTGTACTCCCGAGTAGAACTTGCCAAGTCCGAACTCCCAAGTGCGCAAGTCCGAACTTGGCGTACTTAGGGCCTGTCCCATTTCTACCGCTTATATCTTCCACTTGGTATTGAGTGCTCTTGTTTGCGAGATAACCCTTGATGAGGGAAGTGAGAAATATTAGGGTAGAGATCTTTCCCTAAGAAATGGGACACCGCTTCATGCAAGTCAGCGTGGCCGACGTGTAGGCATACGTCATGCGTAGTAGTGACGCAGTGAAAATGCAGGGTCCAGCGCTTGTGTTGTGGCGTGTGCTATGCCTATTCTTCTTCGCCTGATGAATCAACGGAGAAGACAGGGGGCACCTACGACGTCCTCTAGTTCTGATTGATTTTGTTCGGGTAAGTCGATTTGTTTAAATATTTTGACGCTGTGTTCAGCCGAGTTGCTGATGAGTTTACACTAGTCCAACCATCTGTTGTTTGTATAGCCTATATTCTGATTGTACAGTCACAAATTGTTTTCCAAAACTTGCTGAAGTTAAAGACTTCATCTTCCACTTCGTTGAAAGTGTGGGTCGGGGCTCCCTTGGAATCTAGGGCAGATTTTAAGTGTTGGAAACCACTTCCACTACCTCAATTCTGTTTTGGGACACCACTAGCCTAAAGGTGAATGCACACAAGTGCAAGTGGGTATTTCTAGGGGAAGTGTGGGTATTGGGACAGGGGCTTGGTATTGAGAAATGCCTTAAGAGTGTCAGTGTCCAACGTCCAAGCCTCTAAGGGCTATGGCTATTTCCTGGACCTTACTATTTCAGGTTAGAGAGTCCTGCAGAGACTTTGTGAAGAGCAAACTCTGGTATAGTGACATAAAAATGTCACACTAGCCACACAAAAACACTTGAAGTCATGTTTTCCAGTTGACGACACACCACAAAGTCAACAAAGACACATGCATGTTTTAAATACCTCTCAGATTTTCCAAAACACACTTGCATATGTGAGGTCAGGGAGGCAGCCTGTCTTTAAGCCGCTCATGTTCACAATTAAAAGTTTTAGTTACGACTTTTGGAGGCTGTGTCCTCCTCCTTCATTGTGAGGGAATCCTTGCTATGGTAATTTGTGGTTATCATGCAGGAGGTGTGGCTCGAATGCAAAATGAAGCCTTGCAGACATTTTGTGGTTTGTAGGTTGGTTGTTAATAGTTAGACTTAATATAGTGAGCATTTGCTGAGGTTGATAAATTTACTGAAGAGGTGGAGCCACTGGCTGCGTTTACTGCTGGATTAATGAGCTCCAAGTGGAACAAAAAGTATTAGACATTGAAAGGCTGCACTATGCAAAGTTTAACCACGTAACATGGAGAATGTTCTTTGAGTTTCTGATTGTGTTGATTGAGGACATCTATATTTACATTTGTCGAGATTAAAGTTTTTGGTTTCTCTAGCAATTATCTTGCCTTCTTATAAAGATGAGGTATGGAAACCAGTTTCCCCCAGTGTCATAAAAAAGATCCTCTGGGTCGTTATAATGAAAAACCTTCTCGAAATAATGACTTAGTCTCTTAAAATAATGACTTCATTAATTCAAAATTAGTTAATTTCTCGAAATGAGTTACTGTAGTATGTCAAAAATAATGACTTAATCTCTGAAAACAATAAACTGTTTCAAAATAATGGCTTATTTTCATTTCTCATTTTATGCAGCATATCATTAGTCATTTTTAAAAATCTATAATTTTGAGGTATTAAATCATCATTTAAGATACTAAGTCACAATTTTGAGATACTAAGTCAGAATTTTTAGTTTTTAAGTCATTATTTTACATCCCAAGTCAGTATTTTAAGATATAAAGTCAATGTTTTTGACATACTAAGTGATAATTTTGAGATTTTAAGTAATTATCAGAGATTTTAAGTCATTATTTATGATTTTAAGTCATAATTTGGGGGTACTAAGTGATAATTTTGACGTATTAAGTCATTACTTTAGATACCAAGTCAGTATTTTGAGACATCAAGTCACTGTTTTTGAGAAACTTAGCCATAATTTTGAGATTTTAATTAATTATTTTGAGATGTTAAGTAAGTATTTTGAGTACTTAGTCATAATTTTGAGGTATTAAGTCATTATTTAAGATACTATGTCAGTATTTTGACATATTAAGTCATAATTTTGTAGGTATCCAGTCATAATTTTGAGATACTAAATCAGTATGTGGAGATACTAAGAGAGAACTTTTAGATATGAAATCAGAATTTTGAGATACTATGTCATAATATTGAGGTAGTAAGCCATTATATGGAATACAATAAAAAAAAAATTTTTTTGAGAGACTAAGTAATAATTTTGAGATTTTAAGTTATTATCTAAGATACTAAGTCAATATTTCGAGATACTGAATCATGATTTTGAGGTATCAAGTCATTATTTAAGATACTATGTCAGTATTTTTGACATATTAAGTCATAATTTTGAGATAATAAATCAGTATTTGGAGACACTTAATCATACTTTGGATATACTAAGACATAATTTTGCTACTTAGTCATTATTTTAAAGCAGTGGTTCCCAACTGGTCCAGCCATGGGGTCCAGATTTCTCCTTAGCTATTAGCTCAAGGTCCCACAGTTTGATATATTCAAAATCATACTTGTATTTGGCCATGTCATCCAGCTAGTTTGCTGTTTCTTTGCCACTCACTCCACGGCAGGAAACAGCACTCCAAAATAAACACTCTGTGCCAGAAATTCACTGTACTTCAAAATAAAGTGTGTTTTTAACAAACTTGACACTTTTGCAAGTCACTTGCTGTCCGTATAGAATGGACCTGTGACTCATTTTTTGACCGCAACCCCCCAGTTGGGAACCACTGTTTTAAAGAGTTTCTCATGATTTTGAGAAACAGAGTCATAATTTTGAGTTTGTCATTGTAATGTCTTACAGGATCTTTTTTTTTTTTGTAATTACAGTGGCAGAAGTGGGCCTCCATAATGAACATGGTATGCCAAATAAACCTTATGTTTCTGTTGGTTGGTGGATGAATTATATTTACCAGTCACTGAGGCATGAGCTCTTCCAGTAAATGATTCTTCTTCTTTGTTCTTTTCACAAACTCATTGTTCCTGTCCCTGTTCTCCCCCTTTAAACCAGCATTAATTAATTCTGTAGTTGGCGACTCAGCAACACAGGAAGATTCCCAGAACTTTAATTAATGTCAATATTGTTGTTGAGATTGAGCAAATCTTAAAAGTAGCTTGTCAAAACGAGCTGTTTTCGTCCATCCAGTCAGGTCTGCTGCACACAAACACATCTTTCTTTTATGTCGGAGGTGACGCAGATGGAAATACTTTGCTCCTGAAGTACATGATACAGAAGTAGGACTCAGGGAGGAGCCATTTATTGGAATGCCGGCTTTGGTCAATTCCAGTAAGCTGACGTGGCTCATGGCTGACTCACTTCGACCCCCTTTGCAGTTTTGTTTTTTTTTTTTCTCCAAAAATCGACCCCCCCCTTCTGGTGAAAACATCTCTTATTGCACCACTGTGATAGGGAACAAAGAGACCAGGCGATGACTTCTCTGCACAGGAAATAGTTGTGGTTAATACACATGACTAAGGAATGAGAATGTAAAGCAGACCTAAAGCTCCCAAAGCGTCGGATATCACTTACAGATTTGTCTGAAGCTCCGTTATAGAATCTCAAAGTTGCACATTTTCCCTTCGTATCTTTCAAATTTAAAAAAAAACTATTAAATAAAATTGGTCAAAAAATGTAATATTTTGAGTGGTTTGATGTGGTGGATGTCTTGACTGACTTCAATCTACTTAATTACTTCATTCTACCAAATTACTATCTGAACTTTTTCACCTCATTTCAAACCAGAATAGTTTCACTCACATGATTTCAGACACAGTAGCAATGTTGCTCTGTTGATGGTGATGTCAGTCTGTTGGTTATTTGGTCAGTCGGTCCTCCAGTTTGGTCCAGACTGAAATATCTCAAAAACAACTGCCATGAAATTTTGTAGAGACATTCATGATCCCCAGAGGATGAATTCTGATGGGTGATCCCCTGACTTTTCCTTTAGCACATTACCAGGTTGACATTTTTATTTTTTCGTGAGGTATCTTAAACCTATTGGATGGATTGCGGTGAAATTTCAACACGTTGTCCCCCTCTGGATAAATTCTAATAATGTCAGTGATTGCTTAACTTTTCATCTCGTGACATCACTTTTCAAATTTTAATTTGCCCATTAGGTGAATTTGTTTTATGACTAAATATCTGCCTCAGCTGTACTTTCCATGTAGTGCTAATTAGCACATGTTAGCATTAGCTAACAGGCTAACCTGAGATAGTGAACCTGGTAAATATTATTACTGGCTAAGCATCTGAGGGCCGGTTGCACAAAACACCTTGAGCTAAGACTTTCCTTAAAGGCCTAGTTTTCCTCAAAATGAAATCAGTTGCATAAAACACCCTTAAGTTTTCTCCTTAAGGTTTCCTTTAAATGTTCACTGAAGTATTTATGGTTTTCTCCTTGTCTAGGTTTTCTACTCAAAGAATCCCAAGACCGTTGCACAAAACACCTTAGCCACCAAAAAAACTTAAGGAACCTCTGACTCTCTCTTAACTGCAACACGAGTTTATGGTCATAAATTAAAAAACGAACGCATCCCAAGAAGAGTGTTCTGTGACCAGGAGAACCAGATGTTCACACTTTTAATTTTACACCATAGATTTGACTGAATTAATTTTTGTTGCTTCCCACAGTCATTTTCTGTTTTCTGGAATTTGGGGATCAAATTTACTTTATAGGATGATTGTATTCCTCCAGATGTATAATGTTTTGCTCCTCTGACCAATATATTTTTCTTGTCTTCTTTTCTTCTGCCATTTTTATCTAACTATGATCCAACTTTGTGAGACGATAACAGACATCACAAGCTCGAGTCCAGGCAAACAAACAATCTCCATGGAAACTTTTACCGCTGTCAAATCTCTTTTAATGCAGTAATTGAGTTAATATTTTTCTTAACAAATGACATATTTTAAGGGAAACTGCTGTGTAAGTTCTTTAGCTAAGGAGAAATTAAGCCTTAAGTCATATTTAAGGAGGAAACTTAAGGTGTTTTTGTGCAGCCAGACTGGGGCCGTATTCACAAACATTCTGAGAATCCTCTCAACGAGCTCCAAACTTAACATTTTTTAGTGAGGAGTCCTAGCTTAGGAGTGATTTAGGAAAGTTCTCAGAGTAACTCTGAGTGAGGAAGAGACAAAAACTTTTACCTTAGGGAGAAGGTGTGGTTGACCCTATTGCTAGGTGTGATGCATTCTGTTAACAGATGTGATTGGTTGTCACAGACACACCCTTTAGTGAGACTACAAGGTGTGGACACCCAGTGGAAATGAAATGAACTGCTGACT